TTATTGTGGAGACCTCCTCGGAGTGCTTACATGAAGCTATGACAAATTCTACTGCACACATTAGCCTCAGCCACATCCGTCACAGCATCCTCTGGCTTCTGACACGCTTTGATTCATGGAGTTTGGATCATACTCTTTCTGAACGTAATGAAGCTGCAGCGGCCATTGCTCTCAGTGTCACTCGGGATAGGCGCCATCACTCGTATATCGCTCGGAATGCTCCATCATGGCTACATCACCTTTTCGTATTGGAGGCTAAATAAGTAAGGAAGTGGGTAATTCTTGCTTTTACTATCAAATATTTTTGTGACGGTGTCTACTGACATCTTTCTTTTCGTTATTAGTCTTTATATTTGTTCCCTTGAACTTTGTTTACTACTCAGTGTTATAAAAAAAAAAAAAAAGAAACAAATTCTTCTCGTTAATTTTACACACACACATAAAAGTCTTCTCGTTAATAGACAAAACTAGAAGGAATGAAATGAATTAAATGCAAACCCAACTAATAACAGTCTAACAATTCTAGTTAGTAGTTAGTCATCCTTTTTTCCCATCTAAAATCCCTATATAAACGCATCATCAACTCACACTTTTCTCACATCCAACAGAAAAACACAAGCTTAAACACACACAAAAGCAACCAAGTCTCCCTATTTTCTTATCACAACAAAAAAGAAAAAGTAAAACACAATGGCTTTGGCTCTGAGGTTCTTCACATGCCTTGTTTTAACCGTGTGCATAGTTGCATCAGTGGATGCAGCAATCTCATGTGGTACAGTGGCAAGTAGCTTGGCTCCATGTGCCGGCTACCTATCGAAAGGCGGGGCGGTACCGGCTCCATGCTGTGCGGGAGTCAAAAATTTAAATGGTATGGCTCAAACCACACCGGATCGGCAACAAGCATGTAGATGCCTAAAGGCCGCTGCAAAGAGCATCAACCCAAGTCTTGCCTCTAGCCTTCCTGGAAAGTGCGGTGCTAAAATTCCCTATCCCATCTCCATGAGCACTAACTGCGACACGTACGCTTTTTTCCTCTTTTGTTGACTGCAATTTCACATTCTTCTAATTTATATTTTTACGTGATATAGAGACCGTGATTTATTTCTTTTGTAACTTACATGTCTTGGTCGTTTGTATTGTTGCAGCGTCAAGTGAAGTGGGAACTCTTACACTATGGCGAGGATGAAGAGTATGGTCTGGCATAAATAAAATGGGTCTATCTACGGTGACCTCAACATGCCCTAGTTTGTCTCTGTTTTTTATCTTGTTGTTGAAAGTTTGTCTTTGTTTTTATTTTGTTGTTGAAATTAAATTTGTCATGTTACTTTGTAGTCTTTTGCTTTATCTTGTATCTTAATTATGTTTAAGATATGATAATAGTACCTTATTAATCATCTTTTTTATATATGTTCTCCAGTATTAATCATATAGGGATGGGAGCCAACAATCATAGAGAGCTATATATATAGTTAGATTTTGGTGTCTTCATAGATTGATACCAAATTTAAAGGGCTTTTTGCAAATTTGACTCAAAACTCCAAGTCAAACACAAAACTAACCTCTTCTTTTGACTCATCTTGTTTTTGTCCTATTCACCCCACATCTTCATTTTATTTACGAAAATGCCATTTAAATGTTTTTTGAATTTTTTTCCGAAAATGGCATTTTTACTCTCTCAACCTCATCATCTTCAAGTATTTACAAC